AAAAGGGCAAGGCTGTTTCAGAGAAAGACTATCTTTAAGAGAATTATTTACATGGTAAAATGTGCCCAGGGATGGTTGATCAATGTAGATATAGGATTTATAGTCTACTTGTTTAGAAATGAAAAAATGATGTTTTTAGACATATAACATGTTTTCATTGTCAAATTTAGTTAGTATTCACAGTAAAATGGGGAAAACCAGAAGGGAAGAGTAGGGAAGAAAATCACCATTAGGGCTTATTGATTTCCAAGAGCTATTTTGTGTGTCCTTACTATATTTTAGAGGAATAGGAAACTCAATGTATATCATACAGAACTCTTCTCAATGCCAATTTCTACATGTATTACTTGAATTTATTTTTAAAAAGGGAGCTGGCCTGACCCAGTTCAGATTCAATTTGTGAAATGAAAAGCTACAGCAAACATGTAATACTTTGCATCAAACAATTATGCTTCAATTTTAAAAGTACTTTTAAAATAAAACTATTCTACTACCTACCTGGTTTATCTTTCACCCACAAAATGTATTTTACAAAACCTAATGCACAACAAAGCAGGCTTCTTACACATATTCTTATAAGTTATTCATTCTTGGCTCCTAAGTGTGTGAACCTTATCTATAAAGACACACTCTGCCTTAACTAAATGATGAGTACCATCTATTGCTTTCAAACATACTAACCTTCTCAAAAACGCTGGATGGGGTCATCAAGCAAAATCGGATATTCTGAATGATGGTATCAGTGTGTCTCCAGCGTCTTCTATCATGCCGCAGCCAAGACTGCACAGCCTCATACAGCTCTATCTCTGGGAACCTGCTTAGATGATCATTATCCAAATAAGACATGAGCTTCTCAAAACTCAGATAGGACAGAAAGTCAGGCCTAGACATGAGTGGAACAAAGTTGTCTAGTAGAAAAGCGTCCAACTTCTCCCTGACTCCCTCAATGTTTACACCAAAATCATCTAAGAGTCTCATAATTTCTGCACAATTTTCTAGGCAGATCTTTGCTAAGAGAAAAGAGCAGCAGAACTTCACCACTTCTATAAGTTGAACATACATGGCAGCCTGAAGAATTTCATGAACAGTATTCATACTCAGTTCTATAGTTCCGTAGTACATAAATTGCAGGACGTGGCTGAAACCGGTAGCAGTTAGACCTTTCAAATGAATTTTGTCTTGATCTCGTTCCCTCATGTCTGCAGTAAACATAATTCTGAAGTAGTCACTCTGGGTGGCCAAGAGTGCTTTATGGGCCTGGAACTGATGATCTTCAATAACCAGAGTGACATCAAGAAGCAATCCCTCCTCATACAGTGCTCTGAACCCAGCAGAGACACTGGTATCATGGATGGAGGAACAGAATCCTTCCACGTCCCCTGCCATGAATCACCTGGAAAAAAAGTAATCAAAGACAACAATGTTAATCACTTCCATACATTCAGAAGACATTATTAACTTATCGAGTTTTAACAATTTTTATTATTATCTCAATTCCACTGCCTAAGTCCAAATGTACAAGTCCTTTGGGAGAAGACAACCTAAAAGTTTGCAGACTAATGTCTTTGGCTTCCTTACCTAAGAAAAATAATCTATTAAAAATATATCAGCAGTTCATGTCTATAGCTCCAGCACTTTGGGAGGCCGAGGCAGGAGCATCACTTGAGCTTAGGGGTTGGAGACCAGCCTGGACAAGATGGCAAACCCTGTTTCTACAAAATAATTTTTAAAAGTAGCTGGGCAGGGTGGCATATTGCCAGTAGCCCCAGCTACTTGGGAGGCTGAAGTGGGAGAATCCCTTGAGCCCACGAGTTTGAGGCTACAGTGAGCTATGATAGCACCACTGCACTCAAGCCTGGGCAACAGAGCAAGACCCTATCTCTCATATATATATATGTATATATATATATATATAAGTATGTATATCAGCCAGACGCAGTGGCTCACATCTGTAATCCCAGAACTCTGGGAGGCAGAGGCAGGTGGATCACCTGAGGTCAGGAGTTCAAGACCAGCCTGACCAATATGGTGAAACCCCATCTCTACCAAAAATACAAAAATTAGCCAGTGGTGGTGGCAAGTGCCTGTAGTCCCAGCTACTCAGGAGGCTGAGACAGGAGAATCACTTGAACCAGGGAGGAGAGGTTGCAGTGAGTCGAGATCACACCACTGAATTCAGGCCTGGGAGACAGAGCGAGACTCCATCTCAAAAATATGTGTGTGTGTGTTTGTGTGTGTGTGTACACATACATGTGTCAATGGTAAATTGTTATCTTACAAACAATATATGCCTATTCCACTAATTTCAAACTGTTCATCAAATATACTTTAAATGTGTTCCAAAATTAGCAACATAAAAAGGATTTCACAGTCAAATATTAAATTATGAAAAAAGGGACAAAAATGGAACTAAAAAGTATACTTGAAAACCCCTAAGCCGGGCACAGTGGCTCAAGCCTGTAATCCCAGCACTTTGGGAGGCTGAAGCAGGTGGATCACGAGGTCAAGAGATCGAGACCATCCTGGTCAACATGGTGAAACCCCGTCTCTACTAAAAATACAAAACATTAGCTGGGCATGGT